GTGTCACTGTGTGTGTCCCCGACACTGTCTGTGTGACTGTCTGTCGCCTACACTGTTTGTGTGACTGTCTGTCGCCTACACTGTCTGTGTGACTGTCTGTGGCCTACAATGTCTGTGTGACTGTCTGTCGCCTACACTGTCTCCCACCTACACTGTTTGTGTGACTGTATGCCACCTACACTGTCTGTGTGACTGTATGCCATCTTCACTGCCTTTGTGACTGTTTGCCGCCTACACTGTCTGTATGACTGTATGCCACCTACACTTTCTGTGTGACTGTCTGTCACCTACACTGTCTGTGTGACTCTCTGCCACCCACTGTCTGTTTAACTGTCTCTCGCCTACAATGTCTGTGTGACTGTCGCCTACACTGTCTGTGTGACTGTCGGTCGCCTACACTGTGTGGGACTGTATGCCACCTACACTGTCTGTGTGACTGCATTCCATCTACACTGGCTGTGTGACTGTATCCCACCTATACTGTCTGTGTGACTGTGTGTGTCCCCTACACTGTCTGTGTGACTCTCTGCCACCTACACTGTCTGTGTGACTGTGTGTCCCCTACAGTGTCTGTGTGACTCTTTGTCCCCTATACTGTCTGTGTGGCTGTCTGTCCCCTATACTGTCTCTGTGGCTGTCTGTATCGACTACATTGTGTCTGTGACTGTCTGTTCCTTATACTGTCTGTTTAACTGTGTGTGTCTCCTTCACTGTCTGTGTGACAATCTGTCACCTACACTGTCTGTGTGACTTTCTGTCGCCTACACTGTCTGTGTGACTGTCTGTCGCCTACACTGTCTGTGTGACTGTCTGTCGCCTACACTGTCTGTGTGACTGTATGCCACCTACACTGTCTGTGTGACTGCATTCCACCTACACTGGCTGTGTGACTGTATCCCACTTATACTGTCTGTGTGACTGTGTGTGTCCTCTACACTGTCTGTGTGACTCTCTGCCACCTACACTGTCTGTGTGACTGTGTGTCCCCTACAGTGTCTGTGTGACTCTTTGTCCCCTATACTGTCTGTGTGGCTGTCTGTCCCCTATACTGTCTCTGTGGCTGTCTGTATCGACTACATTGTCTCTGTGACTGTCTGTTCCTTATACTGTCTGTTTAACTGTGTGTGTCTCCTTCACTGTCTGTGTGACAATCTGTCACCTACACTGTCTGTGTGACTCTGTCGCCGACACTGTCTGTGTGACTGTCTGTCGCCTACACTGTCTGTGTGACTGTCTGTCGCCTACACTGTCTGTGTGACTGTATGCCACCTACACTGTCTGTGTGACTGTATCTCACCTACACTGTCTGTGTGACTGTGTCACCTACACTGTATGTGTGACTGTATGCCACCTACACTGTCTGTGTGACTCTGTCACCTACACTGTCTGTGTGACTCTCTGCCACCCATTGTCTGTGTGACTGTCTGTCGCCTACACTGTCTGTGTAACTGTATGCCACCTACACTGTTTGTGGGACGGTATGCCACCTATACTGTCTGAGTGACTGTCTGTCACCTACACTGTCTGTGTAACTGTATGCCATCTACACTGTCTGTGTGACTGTTTGCCGCCTACACTGTCTGTTTGATTGTCTGTTCTCAACACTCTCTGTGTGGCTGTCTGTGTCGCCTACCCTGTCTGTGTGACTACCTGTCCCCTATACTGTTTGTGTGGCTGTCTGTGTCGACTACACTCTCTGTGACTGTTCCTTATACTGTCTGTGTAACTGTGTGTGTCCCCTACACTGTCTGTGTGACTGTATGTCACCTACACTGTCTGTGTGACTGTATCCCACCTACACTGTCTGTGTGACTGTTTGTCGCCTGCACTGTTTGTGTGACTGTATGCCACCTACACTGTCTGTGTGACTGTCTGTCGCCTACACTGTCCGTGTGACTGTGTGCCACCTACACTGTCTGAGTGACTGTATGCCACCTACACTGTCTGTGTGACTGTATGCCACCTACACTGTCTGTGTGACTGTATGCCACCTACACTGTGTTTGTGACTGTATGGCACCTACACTGTCTGTGTGACTGTGCGCCACCTACACTGTCTTTCACCATATCAAGAGGTGTGGACATATTGCTTCAGATGTGTTAATATTTTTCTGGGGGTCATGATAATGATCCAGGTGTCATAAAAATGCTTCAGGTGCTTTAATGATGCTCCAGATGTCCTAATAAACTTTATAGTTGTCTTAAAAATGACCCATATGTGTTAATAATGCTCCGAGTGTGTTAATAATGCTCCGGGTGTCTTAATAATTCTCTGGGTGTGTTAATAATGCTCCAGCTGTCTTAATAATGCTCCAGGTGTGGTAATAATGCTCCAGGTGTGTTAATAATGCTCCAGGTATCTTAATGATGCTCAAGGTGTCTTAATAATGCTCCGTTTTGTGTAATAATACTCCATTTGTGTTAATAATGCTCCAGGTGTCTTAATAATACTCCAGGTGTCTTAACAATGCTCCAGGTGTGTTAATAATGCTCCAGGTGTGTTAATAATGCTCCAGGTGTGTTAATAATGCTCCAGGTGTGTTAATGATGCTCCAGGTGTGTTAATGATGCTCCAGGTGTGTTAATAATGCTCCAGGTGTTTTAATGATGCTCTGTATGGCACTTAATAAGGGTCTGGGTATTAGGTATTTAGTTTAGTGCAACTTTACAGAGAGGGAAGGTACTGTAATCAATATATATGCGCGTGTGTGTTTGTGGATATGTAGGTCAAAGGTCAAGAGCGTCAATAACTATTACGCTATTATGCCGATTGGAAGTGTTCCTTGTTTTAATAAAAGGCAATACAAAAATAAAGTAGCTCGAGTATCACTGAATATGAAGGAATTTTAAAACTATTACTACTACTACTACTACTATTACTACTATTATTACTACCAACTACTATTAATTACTGTTAACAATAATAATAATACAGTAATAATAATAACAACAACGACAATAAGAACAACATTAAGACAACAACATATGACCCTGAGGTAAAAATTTGCGTATTAAAGAAAAATCATCGACATATTTTTTTTTAGTTGTAATGAAATAGCATAAAAAATTCCCTTTATAATTGAAATAAAGAATAAGTCAAAGTTAGCATTAAGCAACACCTGAATATGTCTCCCTCACACCCTAATAGTGCCCATCAGTTAAGTCAGGAAGGAGCGGCACAGAACTGACTGACCTTGGTAATAATGGGAATATTTTAAGATGACATGTAAGGCTGGTTCATATAGATGGCCCTAATCGTGATGGTTCTAATCGTGATGGGTCTAATCTTGACGGGTCTAATCGTGATGGCCCTAATCGTGATGGTCCTAATCATGATAACCCTAATCGTGATGCTCCTAATCGTGATGGGGTCCTAATCCTGATGGGCTCCTAATCCTCACGAGCCCTAATCCTAACCTAACCATTAGACACCATTATAGGAAGTCACGTGGCGCCCAACCATAACAATCACTCATATTTGTCTGGTAACAATTAAATTAGTGTTCCGATTGTCTAAGTGTCTTATGGTGGATATTTCTCGTAAGTGAATATGTCAAAATATGGCGTCAGAATCACTCTTAAGATTCTACCTTATTCAGATGGTGACAGATGTTGACGTTGACAGGTGTTGACGTTGACAGGTGTTGACGGTGACACCCAACACTCCCTCCTTGCATCCCTGGTCCAGCTCACGCGGAAAAGATCATCATCTACTAGATCTGACAATTCCTTCACCGCTAAAGTTGATTCATCCTCCTCGTCCACACACCGTCAGTAAACCGTCCTCACACTTACACTGTTTACACGACACTGATCTAGATAACCTCCAGACTGGACCTTTTCATCACGGAATCCTCGCACGTTGACTACACAGCTGAACAATGCAACTACTGACGTTCGCTGGTTCACTTATTTGATACTCCCCGTTGTTCTGTTACCAACTTCTAAATCATGACAACCTAACCTAACCTAGCCAAGCACACGACTTGTTTCTAAGACAAGTTCTGATTGAGGTCATTAAATCCCTTCGTTGAGTTGTAATTTACGTACAAAATAATAATAATAATAATCATAATAATGATAATAATGATGCAATACTGATATTATTATTATTATTATTGTTGTACTTATCATATTATTATTATTATTATTGTTGTTTTTTGTTGTTGTTGTTGTTATAATTATTATTATTATTATTTCGCATTTTACATTGTATTTATTATATGTGGATATACACTGATATTAACTCTTATTATCTGATATTTTTATTGGAGTTTTTATCCTAATAGAGACGCTGATAAAGCTGTCTTATTGTTACAGACACCTACAGACACCTACAGACACTTACAGACACTTACAGGCACACTTACAGACACCTACAGACACCTACAGACACTTCCAGACACCTACAGGCACTTACAGGCACTTACAGACACTTACAGACACTTCCAGACACCTACAGGCACTTACAGACACTACAGACACTTACAGACACTTACAGACACCTACAGGCACTTACAGACACCTACAGACACCAGACACTTACAGGCACTTACAGACACTTACAGACACCTACAGACAACTTACAGACACCTCTACAGACACCTACAGACACTTACAGACACCTACAGGCACTTACAGACACCCACAGACACCTACAGACACCTCACAGACACTTGACACTTACAGACACCTACAGACACTTACAGACACCTACAGACACCTTACTTACAGACACCTACAGACACTTACAGACACTTACAGACATGGTTCTAAAGTAATCTACCTCTTCTAGACACTTACAGACATGGTTCTACACCTCTTCTAGACACTTACAGACATGGTTCTAAAGTACACCTCTTCTAGACACTTACAGACATGGTTCTAAAGTAATCTACCTCTTCTAGACACTTACAGACACCTACCTCTTCTAGACACTTACAGACATGGTTCTAAAGTGACACTTACAGACATGGTTCTAAAGTAATCTACCTCTTACAGACACCTACTCCCTGCCAGTGGACTCAACTCCGTCAGTATTGAGCACCAACATCAGCACTGAGATCTACCGACGTCCCGTGTATAGGTCCCCGCCTGCCGTCCGCAGAGCCCGACGACCCGACCACCCGACCCGACCACCCGACACCTCGGCGGTACCGGCGCCCGCAGCAGCACCGAGCCTTCATCATGAACGCCAGACCACCTGCACTTGTACCTGTCGCCTCCACAGCAGCACGGTGAGCAATGAGAGGAGCAGGCAAGAGAGAGGGCATGGGAGGGAATGAAAGGGTATGAAGAGGCAGGGGAGGTCAAGAGAGGGCAACAGGGGGTATGAGCGGGTATGAAGAAGCAGGAGAGGGGAAGAGAGGGTATGCAGAAGCAGGGAAGGGGAAGAGAGGGCAACAGAGGGCATGAGAAGGTATGAAGAAGCAGGAGAAGGGAAGAGAAGGCAAGAGAGAGGGAATGGGAGGGTACTAGAAGGCAGGGCAGGGGAAGAGAGGGTTGGAGAGGGGTAGGAGAGAGAGGGTATGAGTGGTAGGATAGGATAGGAGAGGGTTTTGAGAATATGAGAGGGGAAGAGAGGGCAGAAGAGAGCAAGAAGAGAGAGAGAGAGAGAGAGAGAGAGAGAGAGAGAGAGAGAGACTCTTACCCTAGCAGTAGAACTAATCATTATCAGGTATGTGTAATTATGATAAACACTATGCAGTAGGTGATGACGTCAGTACCACAGTCAGCCTCACCAGTTAATTAGATTCTATACTGATGACGTCACAGTTTACTTTAGTTGACGAAATAAAACAAAAGTCAGGAAGTGACTTTGAAGAATCAGTTAGATACTTGAAGAAAAAGTCAATACATGTAGTGAAAGATTTCTTAATGTTATATATCTTTATGGAAGCTGTTGTGAAGAAATTAATGAAAATATAGTAATTGATTATAGTATAATAGATGTAACCCTTAACCCCTTCACCGTGGCCGGTGGCGACACCTTACACAAGAGGTTAAATACGGGTTACGAGGAATTTGTTATAACTTTACTTTATCCTCTCGGCTGAGTTAAGTTGGTATAACATCCCTGACGGACGTAAATTATTATAAGTCAGGTCACAGTAAGCGGGAATTAGGTTGTCTAACAGCCAATGGTGAACTGTGTGTGTTGAGGTGTTGTGATATGATCATTAACGTGTGTCTTTACTCCCCAGGGGTGCAAGAGCCGTAGCAGGTCACGGGAGCGGCGGCTACTGGGCATGGGCGACTTGGAGAGCGTACTTGTGGGTGGAGTAAGTGGTGCAGGGGGGCGTGGTGTGGGTGTGGCCAGTGTGAGTGGGCGGAAGGTGGGCGTGAGTGGAGGAAATGGCAACAACAGTGGGAGAAACGTGGGTGGGAGTGCCAACAACAGCAGTGGTGGGTTGGGTCTCCCGACAGCGGGTAAGTCGGGTGCTAGTGGTGGGCGGGGCAAGACAGTGGGTGGTGCTAGTGGCAGAGATATCGGGCGAGGCAGTGCCTCTAAAGGAACTAATGGCGGTGGCGGGAGGCGGAGTGTACACCAAAAGCCAGGATTCTTAAAAACTGTGTCGATCATAGAGACGTTGAGTGAACTGGCCCATGGACCGGAAGTGCAGCGGCTAGCTCAGGAACCCCGGCCGCAGCGCCCCTCCCGTCCTCACTCTGGTTCACGCGCCTCCTCTTCTCGCCAACCAACCCTTACCACCTCCGCGGGCGGGGGAAGTGCCGGAGACCATGGTGACGACACCCCTACACGCCCACCTGGTCCACCTGTCCTGTCAGCAGACTTCCAGCAGTACAGTGAAAAGATCTACGACGCCGTCACCTCCCAGGGGCCAGAACCTAGCCTCAGGGGGAACCATGGGGGGCAGGGGCGCGTCCATAGCATCGCGCACCCTCGCAGAAGGGAGCGAACACAACCCAGGGGCGAGACTGCCCTGGGGGAGTCTCAGGGAGCCCCTGGGATAAGTAAGGAGAGCAGGAGGGAGGAAGAAGAAATCAGCAGGAAGCCTCGACCCGAACACCGCGGCAGAGAACGAGGCAGAACACCAGACTGGATTAAAAGAATATTCGATATCGCTAAAAAGGGTGACCTGCCATCTCTGGTGAGTACTGTGTGTGTGTGTGTGTGTGTGTGTGTGTGTGTGTGTCACTGTCACTCTCCAGCACGGTGACCCTGAGTAACACTGGGTGAGGTGTGGCAGTAAAGGACTCGCCCGTATTATTAAACAACATCTTCCCTTGAAGAGGGTCGTCGTGTTTCAACCCGAGTTTTAAATTACATGAGTCCTGAGGTACACCGCAGTACAGTACTTAATGGGGTGGTGTGGCGGTAAAATTAACTAATTCCAATAAAATTAATTTATAATATTGGAATTAGTTAATTTTACCGCCACACCACCCCGTTAAGTACTGTACTGCGGTGTCCCTGAGGACTCATTTAATTTAAAACTCGGGTTGAAACACGACGACCCTCTTCAAGGGAAGATGTTGTTTAATAATATGGACGTAAGCAAGGTAGAGCGGTGCCAGCCAGGACTAGGTGGTCATAACTCAGTGGGGCACTAATAACCTCATGAGTTATTCATTACCACTAAAACACAACCTGACTCTCTCTCACAAACAAGATCATAACAAGTCTCTACTTTAACACAACGTCACTCTCGTCATACCAGCCATCACTGTCATTATCCTTAGTCTTACCTTAACTAATACCACTTCTCATACTCACCACATTGTTCCCAGTGTAAGGAAGACTCTCGCAGCCTAGACCACACGTCATCTCTCAACACCTTCTAATCTTTTACAACAGTACGTGGACCTTTGCTCTACTGTTTGTGATGACACTACGCAGTTCATAGATAACTAGATAGATAAATAGATATATCTTTATTCTGTACAATCATAGACTATGTAAAAATAAACAAATAAATAAATAAATAAAACTAAATAAATAGGTAGATAAACGGATAAATATACCAAAAGAATAAATAAATAAATAAATAAATAAATAAATACAAATAACAAATAAATAAATAGATAAATAAATAAATAAATAAATAAATAAAAATAACAAGTAAATAAATAAATAAATAACATAACATAAAGCTATTCACCTCATCAACCAGATCAGTCCTTCACTCTCCCCTTCACGCCAGCAAACACCTCTACTGTGCCTCCCACAGTTAATAATGACTCAGCGGACGTATAGTGACCTGGTAGACGCATTTAAAGACATTAGTGAAGCATTATAGTTCATTATAACATCGACACAAGGTTGTCTTTTCAGTTACTATCACCAGGGTTAGTGTGTGTGTGTGTGTGTGTGTGTGTGTGTGTGTGTGTGTGTGTGTGTTATACATGACACCTGTCCTTTCAGTCCTCATCACAACCTGTCATTCTGCCACACCTCACCTCACCTCCTCCAGGCACGTTCCCTCCTCCTCCTCATCATCATCATCATCTTATTTCACACTTCTCGATAATGAAACTCTCCTCCCCTCTCTCGCCATTCTCTCCATCTCTCATTGTACTACTCAATTATGTACATCAGTGTTCTTAGTCACGGTGTACAAGTCCAAGTTCAATTATATGTCATTAGTTAGTGGCTTATTGTCCTGCAACACTAAGACGTAAACACCGTCCTCTCTCTCTCTCTCTCTCTCTCTCTCTCTCTCTCTCTCTCTCTCTCTCTCTCTCTGTCCTGCTCTTAGTTCCTCGTAGTTTGGCTCTTTAAAACACCCCTAAAATACTCTCTCACCTGCTGCCTTAAAATAGGGTCTTTATTTACAGTATTGTATGTATGACTGATGACTTAAGTATGACTGTTGTATCAGCTGGTGCATAAGATGTGACTAACAAACCTCCGACTATTATTTTTGATTTGTTATATATTTATTAGACATTCTTAGTTGTATTAGTGTTATACATCAATACATTCTCACTCGTATTATTCTTGTTATACATTCATTATACATCCTCAGTTGTATTACTTGTACTGTCCATTAATACATCAACAGCTGTCTGTATATTAGTCTTGCTGTTCATTGATACATTTCTTACTGTCTCGCCATCTTGAAGAATCAGCAAGAGTGTAAACATTGCCAGTGTGTGTGTGTGTCTGTGTATATATGTGTGTGTATATATGTGTGTGTGTGTGTGTGTGTGTGTGTGTGTGTGTGTGTGTGTAGATGAGTGATAGTCTGTCTCTTAACCTGTCTTAATACAGCGAAACCTCCATATAACGGAATTCTTTCTCAATATAATCCGTTAAATAAAGGTTTCACTGTATGGAGTCAAGGTTTTGATATGTCTGCAGCACCTCTGTTCTAAGTGAAGTGTGAGAGAGAGAGAGAGAGAGAGAGAGAGAGAGAGAGAGAGAGAGAGAGTTGGTCCTGTTATTCTCTAAACAACTACCAATCTTAACTACCCAAAACAATAAATAAATAAAGCCTATATTCTCTTTACCAATTCAATAACTATTCCCTCATTTATCATTCACATACTCATTAACTTTACCCTTTATATTCACGACCTCTCCAAAATATTTATTCCTTAATTATCGTCATTTTTCTCATTTTTTGTGTTTTATTTATTTTTTTCATTATTTTCTCTCATTCCTTTAGTACTTCGCCACAACCTCAGCTCAATAGAAGAACACCGACGTAGTTACACACTGATGGTTGGTTTATGTCGTGTTTATTTTACGTCACTGGAGGGTTTTAATGTCTGGTGTGACGGAGGATCGGGATATTGGGAGTTTAGGGGTGAGGAGGGGCAAGTGTTTCAGAGCGGTAGAGGTGGAGTGGGGGCAAGTGTTTCAGAGCGATAGAGTGGGGGCAAGTGTTTCAGAGCGGTGGAGTGGGGGGCGGGTGCCTCTGGTTGTGACAGAGTGGGGGCAAGTGTTTCAGAGCGATAGAGGTGGAGGGGCAAGTGTTTCAGAGCAGTAGAGGTGGGGAGGGGGCAAGTGTTTCAGAGCAGTAGAGGTGGAGGGGGGCAAGTGTTTCAGAGCGGTGGGAGGTGAGTGGGGCAAGTGTTTCAGAGCGGTGGAGGGCAAGTGTTTCCAGAGCGGTAGAGGTGGAGTGGGGGGCAAGTGTTTCAGAGCGGTGGAGGTGGAGTGGGGGGCAAGTGTTTCAGGAGCGGTAGAGGTGGAGTGGGGCAAGTGTTTCAGAGCTGGTAGAGGTGGAGTGGGGGGGCAAGTGTTTCTGTGAGCGGTAGAGGTGGAGCGGGGGCAAGTGTTTCAGAGCGGTGGAGTGGGGCAGGTTTCAGAGCGGTAGAGGTGGGGTGGGGCAAGTGTTTCAGAGCGGTAGAGGTGGAGGGGCAAGTAAGTCAGAGCGGTGGAGTGGGGGGGCAAGTGTTTCCAGAGCGCAGAGGGAGTGGGGGGGCAAGTGTTTCAGAGCGGTGGAGTGGGGGCAAGTGTTTAGAGCGGTAGAGGTGGAGGGGGGGCAAGGTTTCAGAGCGGTGGAGTGGGGGCAAGGGGTTTTAGAGCGGTAGAGGTGGAGTGGGGGCAAGTGTTTCAGAGCGGTGGAGTAAAAGTGTTTAGAGAGGTGGAGGTGGGAGTGGGGGCAAGTGTTTCAGAGCGGTAGAGGTGAGTGGGGCAAGTGTTTCCAGAGCGTGGAGTGGGGGCAAGTGTTTCAGAGCGGTGGAGGGGGGCAAGTGTTTCAGGAGCGGTGGAGTGGGGGGCAAGTGTTTCAGAGCGGTGGAGGGGGCAAGTGTTTGTGCTGGTAGGGGTTCATTGGTTGGGGGGCAATTGTATCTTAAGCTTGCCATATTACGCCTATTCCTTCCTCTGTTTTTCCTCTTATAGAAACTCGACTTCACCAATTAATCAACATATAGCAACATCAATTCACTACGTATTTCCTATATTAATTAACTATATTACAAGGTGTTTATCTATCAGGTATAAGAACATAAGAACATAAGAAAGTGGGATACTGCAGGAGGCCGACTGGCCCATACAGGGCAGATCCCTTTCACACCCATCCCAGCACTTCCATGTGCCTATCCAACTTCGTCTTGAAGCTCCCTAGCGTCCCCGATCCTACTATAGCACTCGGTAGCCTATTCCACATATCCACAACTCTATTACCAAACCAGTGCTTGCCTATATCCTTTCTGAATCGGAATTTATCTAATTTAAAGCCATTTGTTCTAGTTATTTCTGTTATTACTGAGCTTCAGAACATCTTCCATTTTACCCTTGTTAATCCCACTTACCCACTTGTACACCTCTATCATATCTCCCCTAATCTACGCCTCTAATGAATGCAAGCCTAAGCTTTTCAGTCTTTCTCATATGGAAGGTTTCTAATATTATGGATCATTTTTGTCATTCTTCTTTGTACTCTCTCCAAAGAATCTATGTCCATTCTATAATAAGGACACCAGAACTGAACCGCATAATCCATGTGTGGCCTCACTAATGCTAGGTAAAGTTTCAAGATATCGTCAGCAGTTCTGTTACTCACAGATCTAGATATGAACCCAAGAATCCTGTTTGCCTTGTTGCGAACGCTAATACATTGTTTTCTAGGTTTCAAGTCGTTGCTAACAAATACACCTAGATCTTTTTCACAAACTGAGTTTTCTATTTCCGTGTTACCTAGTTTATACTTAACGTTTGTATTCGTCTTCCCTATCTGTAGTACCTTGCATTTGTCAGTATTAAAATTCATTTGCCAGTCTACTGACCACTCATGTAAGGTATCTAGATCTCTTTGAAGGTGTTCAAAGTCACTGTCTGAATTTATCACTCTCCCCATTTTGGTATCATCTGCAAATTTACTAATCCTACTAGTTATGCCTAAATCAAGATCATTAATGAATATACCAAACAGCAGAGGGCCTAATACAGATCCCTGGGGAACTCCGCTTTTGACCGCACCCCAGTCTGACTTTAATCCATTTATGCTGACTCTTTGTTTCCTACCAGTTAACCATGACCTAATCCATTTTAATACTGATCCACCTATTCCATGTGCTTCTACCTTCCTTATCATTATACTGATTTTACCTCTGTTTTCTTATAGTGATGTTATATATGTTCTGGCTGGTATAACTGAACACTTGTGAACAAAACAATGACACAAAGAAAATAGTTATAGGATAGTAATTATAGTTTGGTGGTGTAAGGGAGTAATATATGTTATAGGCGTAATATTAAAAAAGTAATATTATTAATTATAGGAATTATATATCTGTGTTATAGGAGTAATATATGTAGAGGAAGAATTATTTAGTTTGCTTTATATAGATGTACTACAAAAAAGTTCTTATCATATTTATCATAATATAAAGTTTCGTGAGCTGTGGTTAATCATACGACACAGTTCTCATGATTCTTGATGAGATTGTTGTATGATTGTTGATGATCCAGGTGTGATTAAGTGTTACAAAGAGTAATTAGTGTTTATTGTTAGAGGGAGTATGGTGATTGTTGTGTTAATTGATATAGCGAGGATTGTTGATTTTTTTTTTTAGAAACTGATTATTGAGCAGGTAATCAAGTTTGAGTTTTTTAAAAGAAATGTGAAGATGCATGGATTGATTTTGGGTGGTTCAGAGTTTAAGGTTAAGAATATATTTTGGGAGGTTTAGAATATATTTTGGAAGTTTATATTATAATCTAAGAGGTTTAGAATATAATTAAGAGGTTTAGAATATATGTTAATAGAATATATGTTAAGAGGTTCACCATGACATACACATTTCAGAAGCGCAGTGTGGTCGATATGGAAGGCACACTGATCCGTAACCTCAGCGACCACAGCGGCAACAACCTGCTGCACGTGATGGCTGTGTTCGGCCACCTGGCTCCCCTCGCCTGGCTCCTCACCTCCCAGCAGGTGTTGGTCGACGCCCTCCACGACGAGAACAAGTTTGGACTCACGCCCCTCGTGTGTGCCATCAAGGTAACGACACATTTGTTTGTCTTAATCTCCCTGACACTTAATCACCCGCTATATTAACACGTTGAAGGTTTTAATGTATAATTGAGCTTCAACAACTGGAAAAGGTTAGTAATTACACGAGTCCATCAACACTACAAGTTATGAGGGATAAAACTCTCTCTATATTAACATAAAGCATCAATAATTCTTTCTATTAAGTATCTGATGTTTGTTGTCCTAATTCATTTATTTATAAAAGAACTACAATGTTTCTACCATGATACTGTACCGGCGACGTACTCATTCTCTGTGTAACTTGCATTTCACGTTCACCCCAACACACTCACACTAAAGTAGTCCTTTCACTCGGGTTTTAGCTTAAAAAAATCTATTGACCAAACGTGCAACTGATGTTTACCATACCGGGGTACAGATACATCCCGGCCCCTATAGTCAACAGCTAGCCAGGTAAACAAGCCCGTAGGTAAGATATCACCTATTGTATATTCCTCTATTGTGGTGGTCACCTCACAAGGCAGCGTCGGGTTTGGGATGTATCATACGTTAATAATACTATAAATGATTCACTCTCACAAGCAGGTGTATATCCCAGTGTTGGATGAGATTGAAGAAATTTTATATACAATTCGACAATACATTACAGTCCACCACTTATTACAAATTAGAAACAAAACAAAAATAATTATCGGAATTGCACTTAAGACGTACCAGAAACATTCTCTAAGGGGGTGAATTAACAGAGGAATATATAAGAATACACTGTGTAGATACCTGTAGTTGCTGTTGTCCCCGGTACAGTATGGGCGGCTGCGGCTGGTACAGTGGATGGTGGAGAATACAGGAGTGAGGGACAAGGTGCGGTGTAAGGACGGTGAGAGGTCCTTACTACACGTCGGTGCCAAGTACGCCCAGGAGGAGGTCAGTTTATCTGTGTGGGATAAATGTATCAAGTAATGTAGGAATGTTTGTTGTGGCTTGTTTAGTTAAATTATGAATGTTTATTTAGTATGGTGTAGTTAGTAAATTAATGTTTATTTTGTCTTATTAATTTAGTCAATGTTTCTCGGGAAATGTTTACACGATTATTTTTTAGCCAGACAGAGTAATTATGGACAAATTTTACCTAATGCAGTTAATTTACTGGAAAGAGAGAGAGAGAGAGAGAGAGAGACTAGCATGTAATAACTCCTCTATGTATGAACATATTACAGGTGGTGGGGTGGTTGGTGGAGTACATGATGGCGCACGAGGTCCCGCTAGACAACAAGGATCACAATGGCAACACGGCGCTCCACTTGGCGGCTCGGACTGGTAACTCCCGCGTGTGTTCCATCCTACTACAACACGGTGCTGATGTGACGCTCAAGGTAACCACGCGCGCTCTGCTTACTTCCGGGGTTTGTTGTGTTATTGGATATACAGTACAGTAAGAATTTGAAGACGTATACACTGATATATTTAATTTTTTTTACACATGTTCACATGTTTATGTTCGTGTGTTTTTGTTTACAATTAATTCACAATAAATTTTGTCCTTGCCTTCACGTGCATTCTTCTGTTTACATATTTTTACATGAAAACTCAGTAACTTCTCTGTTGTTACCTACACGAACGTGCCTGTGTACATATTTCAATTGAATCCTCAGTAATTACGCTGTTTTACCGACATAAAACTTTTTTAATTGAATTCATATGTCACGTGAAGAATCAGCCTAACGCTAAAGGTCCTGTCCTAACTTAACACAACCTCCTCCAGGTAGAGTAGCGTTAGGGTGGTTACCCTTCAGGTGACATAAGCTGGGGTGTCTGGTCTACAGGTGAGCCCAACTTAACATAACCCAGTAGCTAATATTAACATTATGGAACGGTTACAGAATGACATGGGACAGAAGGCGTGGGAGGTGTGTGTGGTGCGGGGTCACCTGGCGTGTGCCGAGTACCTGTGTGTGCATGAGTCTGGCCTCGCCCTCGCCACCGACCTCACGCGGAGAGAAGCAGAGCTGGAGGCCGCGATGGCAGACAACCATGATCTCAGAGTCAACTTCAAGTGAGTTTCTTGCTAGCGCTGTGTTGGAATATTTATATGAGGATGTATCAATTTAGATAAGCCACCTGACTCTTATGTTATAGACTATAGAGTATCCTGACCCGAAGGTCACTTGGAAATTCTGGTCTGGATTCAGCTGTTTTCTTAGTTGTTCGGGAGCTCGGTGAACATATTCGGGAGCCAGCTCCCCACACATGAATGAGAATGCTGCATACGACTAAGAAAACGGCTGGTTGTCTTTATACTGATGCTCCTTCTTTATACACACACATACACACCATCGTATGTTGAGGACCACAGTGAGGCAGCTGTTTTTAATCTGGGAGGTAAACTCTTTTAAAATAATACTATCTGGTGTTTTACCAGTCATATCGATCACTATTCAGTTACACCACTAATGAAATGTTTCCTATACGATGTTACTAAGTCTTAAGTATCATCTTTCATCCATCATGCGTCGTGCGTCTGGTTATATTGGTCATTTACCCGCAAAGAAAAAGATCCCTTCTTATAGTGAATTACCAAGACGTAAATCTTTCAGAGAGGTGTTGAGTGTGGCGCGGCGGCTGGTGAAGGAGAGGGAGGAGGTGGTGCGTGAGTTGTCCCGCCTCCACGACCACATGGTGGAGGCTCACGACAACAACATCATGGCGCTACAAGTCTTGGCTGAAGAAAACAACTCTCTCAGGGACCGCGTCAATGGCGTCAGGCAGTCCACGCATGCGCGGTGAGTTGCCACGACATGACCCCCCTGATTCCTTCTAGTCTGGTAAATGAATCTATCTATCTATCTAAACCCCTTTGAGTACGATGACTTAACTCCTTAGGTACGATGAACAGCTCCAGAGTACGATGCCTCACGCCTGGAGTTTTAAACACCCTCTTCCGTTGAAGAGGGTCGTCATGTTTCAACCCGAGTTAAAAAAAAAAATCAGTTCTGAAGGACACCGCAGTACAGCACTTAACGGGGTGGTGTGGCGGTAAAATGATATAATTCCAATATTATAATTAATTTATAATATTGGAATTAGTTAATTTTACCGCCACACCACCCCGTCAAGTACTGTACTGCGGTGTCTTTCAGGGCTAACTTTTTTTAAAACTCGGGTTGAAACACGACGACCCTCTTCAACGGAAGAGGATGTTTAAAACTCCAGGCGTTAACCCCTTGAGTAGAATGACAACCCCTTGATGACGACAACTTAACGCCTTTGAGTACAATCACATAATCCTTGAGTGCGGTCACTCCCCATGACTCCAGCTGCCCTGTAAATTAACGATATATTTACAAGAGAGAGAGAAATAATTCTACTCTCCTTTCATCTGTTGTACGAAACTAAATACACACATGTATCTTGTCAGCGTTTGTCATGTTTGAGTGTCATGTTTGAGTGTCATGTTTATTTACCGCTTATTATGTTTGTGTTCCATATTTATAATCATTATTTACCATATTAATTTGTCATGTTTGTTTGTCATGTTTGTTTGTCATATTAATTTGTCATGTTTGTGTCAGGGAACAAGTGGAGTCAGTTATAGAGTACGTGAACGGGTTACACGAGCGGTGGCAGGGAGCACAGAAGACCTGGTTCGGGTCCTCGCTGGTGGACATGGAGCACAGGATGTTACTGGTGGAGGAGGCGTGGAAGAAGCTCAGACACCGGAGTCACCGCACCGTCGCCACCGCCCATCACCCGCTCGATGTGTTCAGGTGAGTCGTGAGTCTTCAGGTGATTATCGTGTCTTCAGGTGAGTCGTGAGTCTTCAGGTGAGTAGTGAGTCTTCAGGTGATTATCTTGTCTTCAGGTGAGTCTTGTGTCTTTAGGCGATTCGTGAGTCTTCAGGTAAGTCGTGAGTCTTCAGGTAAGTCGTGAGTCTTCAGGTGAGTCGTGAGTCTTCAAGTGAATCGTGAGTCTTCAGGTAAGTCGTGAGTCTTCAGGTAAGTCGTGAGTCTTCAGGTGAGTCGTGAGTCTTCAGGTGAGTCGTGAGTCTTCAAGTGAATCGTGAGTCTTCAGGTGAGTCTTGTGTCTTCAGGTGAGTCGTGAGTCCTTAGGTGAGTCTCATGTCGTGTCATGTGTCTTTAGGCGAGTCGTGAGTCTTCAGGTAAGTCGTGAGTCATCAGGCGAGTCGTGAATCTTCAGGTGAGTCGTGAGTCATCAGGCGAGTCGTGAATCTTCAGGTGAGTCGTGAGTCTTCAGGTGAGTCGTAAGGCTTCAGGTGAGTCGAAAGGCTTCAGGTGAGTCGTAAGGCTTCAGGTGAGTCGTAAGTCTTCAGCGGATTTTACTCACCACAATGTCTGTTTTACCTGATCTGAGTGACGGATGTTTTTGGTACATGAGACGTTTTTTTTATTTTCTTCTTCAGGTGAAACGAAATTATAAATTAATTCTTGGTTTATTTAGTTTTTCTTGCCGTTTATTATTGTTTCCAAAATGTAGTGTGTAGCTGAACTGTTTTCAAAAGGTATTGTTTTCTGGTACATAATGCGTAATGACTATTATTTTTACAGGTATGGAAAATAATAACCGCGATTTTGATTAACTTCATCAGATTCAAAGTTGATAAAATTACTTCAGTATTTACCATTAAATTCTGTGTACTATGATGAAACAGACGAGCAACAGTGTGTGTTAGTAGCAGCGAGCCTTCATGGTACCGTACTGTACTGTACCTCTCCACTAGTTTAAATAACAAGTTTGAAATATAATGCTGACTCACTTCAATCATTAGAGTTGTGATGGCTTCTAGAATACTGACGCCTTTCCTCTTTACCACCAGTTAGACCTGTTTATTTTCTTATACATTTGTCTGTACTGTCACAACATACTGTAGGTGCTGGCAGTACTTCAGAATTCATTATTCTCAACGACCTTACTAAGTACAGTCAGTTACATACCATTGTTATGTAAGGAATTAATGTATACTGTAACCGGTGCTAGGTTTATTATGATGTGAACACACACACACAAGCGCACACACACACACACACACACACACAAGAGCACACACACACACAAACATACACACAAGCACGCACACACACACACGCACACACACACGCGCACACACACACACACACACACACACACACACACACACACACACACACAGCACAGATGCATATGCCAATACTTATCTAAAATACTCTCATGATGCAGGGCGAAGCTTTGCTCTATACGGGCCCAGGGAGGAGACTGCCGCCTGGGTGACCTTCCCTCACTCTGCTCCTCTGAGGAGTCTCTCGTCTCACTTTTCCCATTTAGTGAGGAGGAAGACGTGTATGAAGGAGTTGAGGACTACGCCGCCACTACTTCACCAGCTCACTCCACGCCCACACGGGCCACTACTCTCACGTCTACACCAATGCGTACACCTGCCAGTGGTGGTGTTGACGTGCGCTCTGAGACACTCCCGGCCAGACTGGAGGCTTTATCACCCCGTGTTGGTCGTAGTGATCATATACAAGAGCCAGACTACCTGAGCCGGAGTGAGGCCAACCTAGCGGATGAACCTCCCGACCCAATTATAGACCACAAACAGTCGCCAATATCCTCTAGGTCAAGAAATCCAGCCTCCAAGGTGAAGGACAGTCCTGGGCGACCATACTGGGCTGATGCCAGTCTGAGCCCTGGTTTAGGTTTAATTAGTGAACAGTTAGCTGGAAACTCACCGAGTGGAGAGAGGTTAGGTAAGGAAGAAGTCAGTGCCAGACTGCGGGAGTTAGCACTAACGTCAGAGAGTGGCTCTTGTTCTGTGCTGGAGGTGATCGAACCTTCTAGTGATGAGAGTGACGCGGCACCTGAAGATGATCCTGGATCGCTGGACCCCCAGATAGGGCCCCGGGGAGCGGCGCCCCCGCGGGCCAGTGAGGAGAGCAGTAGCGGAGAGGCTAAGGCACTCCGTCTGCCCCATGATCGGCGCCAAAAACGTGGGCCTCGAGCCCGCCATGATGAAGGCGAGAGCTCTGTGCGAGGAGGTGAGGCAACCACTACGTCTAGCGAGAGTGGTGCTGACTCTACCTGTGTGAAGCAAGTCGACCTCCTGCATGGCACTGACCACCCACACCATCTTCGACTGCATCACACAGACAATACTGACCATAAGCACTTTTTAGTGAATGAGACATCCCCGGGCGCCGCTGCCGCGGATGTCTCTGATATTTGTGGACAGCGGCACCTGGGGGATGGGGAGGGCATGGAGAGCACCCTCAAGGACACGTCTGTAGGAGTGACATCTGTGTACAAACGTAAAGGATTCCTCCATAAGTTTTCCATTAAACCACGGTGGCCTTCTAAACGCAAAGTGAAAACAGTGCGAAAAGTTCCTGAACTTAGTGCACGAGACTTCCAGGAGACGTACGGCAATGTGAGGGAGTCCACCTTGTCTCTGGGTGACACTGATGCCCACACCACCACCGAGTCCAACACTTCGTCTAGTCAAGAGTACAGTAACTCCTCTGAGGAGTCATCTATAGGCAAGCCCACCACCTCCACCACTACTACTTCTTCCTCCACAGTCACTGCTCGACCCTCTGACCTACCTGAAGCAGAAGCAGCTCGGCACAGGACCCGCAGTGGTGCATCCTCGTCGGACAAGCATATTGAACATGGCAACAGCAGTATTACCAGTAATCCTGGTATGAGTGGATCTTGTCCATCCAGCCCTCCGCCACTACCTGCTCGCCGGAAGCTGCTGCCAGAGGATAGTTCACCTGCTACACCACCTTCATCAGCACCGCCCATCCCTCCTGAACCTGAGTTCGAATCTATGGAGGAAAACCTACCACCTGTGCCCGAGGAGGCGGTGTTAAAACCTGGGAGTGAGGCCCGTAGTGTGGCTGCCTCTGAGGACTCAGGTATTGTGGCGCGGCCCGCCTCCAGCGCCTCCAAGTCAGATTCTGTATCTCGCCCAGAATCCTCCTCCTCCTCTTTTCCTCCTTTCAAGAGTGACTATCCCCTCCAGAAGGGGTTTTCTCTAACTCAGGACCTCCTGCCTACCCCAGACTCTAGTACTGCTGGTCGCATGTCCCCCGCACCTAGTGAGATAAGCAAGACCGAGTCAGCACTCTCCCCTCCTTCCCATGCCTCAGATGTCAGTAAGAGTGAGTCAGCACGACAACTTAGTGTTGGGAAAGGTAGTGTGGGAGGCAGCACAAGTGTCAGCAGTAAGGAGGGGTCAGCATCCTCCTCGTCAGATTACTCGCTGACATTATTGCCTCTCAAGAAGCAACTGAACGTCAAGACGGCTGCCATCATTGACATATCTTGTGAGCAGAAGACTAAGAAGCCAGACCAGCCCAGCATCAGTTCCTCCACTCGGGTGAGCATCACTTATGTTTCTTTATTTATACACCGTGTCTACTGTACAGCAGCACCAGGTAGTCGCCACAGTGATGTACTTAGTGCACCTGGTGTACCTGGTGTAGTTAGTGTAACTGTGTATCTGGTGTATTAAAAGTACATGTGTACACCCACTAAAAAATTATTCGGCAGCCTTACGGCGTGATACAATGACACGGGTGCCGAATAATTTTTAGCGGGTGTACTTAGTGTACCTGTGTACCTGGTATACCTAGTGTACTTGGTGTACTTAATGTACCTGGTGTACTTAGTGTACTTGGTGTACTTAGTGTACCTGTATTATGAGTGTGGGCTGACTTATATAGATCATCCTTGAGTGAGTGTGGACCATCCATACTATACGATATAGACTTTGTTGGCAAAACAAAAAGACAGAATATTTAGAACACGTTCGTCACTTATTCTTATTTCTTGCCCTTTGTTTACTCACTCAGGGAGACTCAGGGAGTTCAAAGAAGGAAGAGAAGCCATGGTATGAACTGTCAGATGAGGAGTCGGACATCTTACTGCCTGACCGTCTTACTAGCAAGGTCATACCCCGGCACTCATCATCTGAGGACGAAACAGAAGTGTGCTGAACCATAACAAGAACTAGTAGACAGACACACACTGTTGGTGAAAGGTTGTGATGTGATGACATATTGCCACGGATTTATGATATTATGGCGTTAGATATTCTTATTACTGTACTTATTATATATATATATATATATATATATATATATATATATATATATATATATATATATATATATATATATATATATATATATATATATATATATATATCAGTGTAACATGACAAATTGTGTGCCTGAATTAAGCAAACGTCGACTTTATATATTACCTGTTAAGGGCAGGTTAAGTGGTTTGGTGAGAAAGAAAAGGAAGAATGCAATGAAAAATGACATTATTTACTAATATTGAAATTACACTTGGGATTCGTTTTAATAGTTGAATTGACATTAACATTCCCAACCTGTCATAGCACTGTGTGGTACTGATGATACTCTGACTTCCTTCAGCTTGTTCTAATGTTTTCACAATAATTGTATGAATATTGACACTGGGAGGTAAAACATGTGAAAATTATCTTTGGTGTGCCATAATTACATTTCTTAACTGCATGACTAAAACCAGGTAAAAGTGACATGGAATCATGTGTTGTGTAAAATATGAATTATAAATTGTTTCCCTTGATGAGTTGTGAAGTAATATGTGAAGCATGACTGTTATTGTTTATGGTAAATTATAATGTTCTATATCTTGTACTGGGGTTCGTAAGACATTTGTTGTGGCTGAGTCAAGATATATGTTACACAAGTTGAGTTTTCATCAACAACTTTAAGATTCAAATTTTATCTTAAGCAATTGAAAGAAATTCTCACAAATGACAATAATTTGACTTTCAGTTATTCATGGAACATCTCTACAAAAAACAATAGGTTTTCACACTGATTATAATAGAAAAATAACTAAAACAAAAAGAAAGGAAATTCATTGATCCTAACAGAAAAAAAAATAGTTTAAATTGAAATTTTGAGAATAATTTAAAGCCTGGTGAGGATATGACGATGTATAAAACCCAAAAGGTGTAGAAAGTAGAGATGGTTTAAACTTAGGATATAAAAGACATGGTCTATACCGTAATGTAAAGGGGTCATATCGAAGGTTTGAGTCAGACACCATGTTGATTTTAGAACCTTTGTGTGTGTGTGTGTGTGTGTGTAAAGACGTGTCTACTATAACCCTCTACAAAATAAAACAAATCATGTTTGTTAGGGAGACGCATGTTTATATCTACCCAAAAATACTGTAAATGTTCAGGTCGAGGTGTTACAAGTTGGTATGGTACTCATACCTGGACCCAAAAATACTTTGTTACACAGATCCTCACACAGTGTCTTGCCAACTATGTACTCTCTGATATGACCCTTAAAGAGATTAACTACACCTGGATTGTGTCAGTTGCTGTACTGTATTCTCCTTCCCGCAGAGCAAAATATGGAGTTGTGTATTGTATTGTATAGTAGTATTTAGTAAGAAAACTTAACAAAGTTTATTCGTAATTGGAGGCTCAAAGAGGATCTATTCTTTTTTCTCTGTACCGGGCAGTGCCATCTGTGTACTGTGCCATCTGTGTACTGTGTAGTGCCACCTGTGTACTGGGCAGTGCCATCTGTGAACTGTGCCAAGTGTGTATTGTGCAGTGCCATCTTTGTACTGTGCCTAGTGTGTACTGTGCAGTGCTGTTCATGTGCTGTAACTGGAATGTACTGTGCAGCATCATAACTAGTACTGTGCCAATCCTAAACTCCCAGTGCCCATCAGATTGTGCCAAAACTCACACGGACTTGAGGGGGTAACGGTGCTGTGTGTGTGTGTGTGTGTATGAGAGAGAGAGAGAAAGAGAAACACGTTGGGCGCTGTCTGGTATCAGTGACCTTGTAAATGCTCAGCCGTAGCTTGTAGACACGTGCAGTGAAACCCACATAGGAATGATCAACTTAAAGGGGGTTATTTTAGTGGTTTACAGGTGGTGTGTGTGTGTGTGTATTGGGTCCACACACACACACACACACACACACACACACACACACACACACACACACATACTCATATACACACACGCACGCACACACACGCACGTACCATCTATGGACCCTCAAAATAAACCCCATAATAACTCGCTATATATTTTTGTATTACCTTCACTTGGTCATCATGTAAGTCATCCCATTAGTAGTCGTCATCACTTTACATATTGATCATGACGTCATAAAGATAAGGTGGAAAATTGACTTGGGGTTTTTTCTTGGCGTTTTCTATTAACATTTATATATAATTCACATTGTGCCATGAAGGTTCTGAACATGGGTGTACATGAGTTAGAATAGGTTAAAGAAAAAGTATTTTATATTGTATTAGGGAAAAACCTTCTATTAACAGGTAAGAATTAATAATCTAATACTCATTATCTCTCTCTTATAAATTATGTTAATTATTGAAAGCAAATTGATTGTGTTTTTTTTTTCAATGTGGTTGTGAAGAGTTATATTAAGGATATCTTTCATTATTATCTACTAAAAATATATATATATTTTTGCGGGGGGCTTAAAATCTAGGGCTATAAATTCCCATAAAATACCCCAAGACAGCGATCTTCTGCCCCTCGACCACCCAAAAGCTACCATCTTCGCGAGTCAACTTGAGGTCCTGCAGGGTGGCTGCTCTGGTCCTCCTGCCACTCTTTGAGTGCTGTTCGTCAACACATATAAGAGCATTTCTCCCCAGTCTCCCTCTTACCCCCACTCTACTGTCTTTATCACAAAGAGACCACTCTGTAGTTCCCAGCTTCTCCCGTTCAAGGTGTTGGTGGAGGAGGTATTGATGTAAACTATACGTGATGTTGTTTGTTGTGGACATTTGTTTACACATTCATAGAGGATTTTCTAAGTCTTCTTCACCGCTTGGACTTTCTTATAGATTTGTACTTTAACATTGACCACTGTCTCCATTATCTAGGGTGACCTGCTCTCTACCCCTTCGTACCACAGGTCACGGTCGTCCCTTGTCACTCAGGGATGCTCTCGTCTCCCCCTCCCCCCCCCACCCACCGCAGTCATGCACCATCCCGGTAACTCGTCCCCTCCCTGCTCCCTGGCCACCAACCAGCCAAGTCACACTCCAACCCCGGGCCATCCACCTCCCACAGAACCATTACTATCCACTCACCCTCCACTAGGTCATCCGCACCCCCTCCTTCGACTACCGACCACCACAGCCACACCTACGAACCCTAGTGTGGTAGCGCGGGTGTGATCAGCGCCTCGACCCATACCAACTGTACAAACTCGAGAAAGTCATATTTGGCGTGATTGACATATTTCTTTTCTACACGGTCTTAAAATCTTCCCAATATATGTACGTAGGTCTATACGTGAATAATTTTTCACGAAGCTCTGATTTCTATCCCCACCACCAGAACATACTCGTATGAGGGAGGCCTTAGTGTACTACTTATGTCCGTCCGTCCGTCCGTCTGTGCATCCGTCCGAAACGTCTTGTCCGTTCCATAACTTGAACAAGGCTGTGCGGATCGAAATGTAACATACTATACAGTTTAGTAACATGAGTATCTAGGTCACGTTGGATAACCAGCTTAAATCATCTTTATGTACGAGAGGTAGAGCTCTTGGCGGGGGTAAACGTCTCCGTCGGTGATTTTACTGTACATTTTTTTTTCAATGGTGCTACTGAGTTACCGTGTATAGAGCGCGCCCATTTCTATAAGAGGGACGAAGTCGGCATAGCAAGCAATAATTGTTGTATTTGTCAGGTAGACATTTGCTTGTAGCTAATTTTCCACCTCTGTTTAGAAAGTAGTCATTTAAGGGGTCGTGTCGGGGGTTCACTGGTGGCCTGATACTGTGTGTGAGTCTGTGTACATAAACAGTACCTCGGTGAGACGAAGAGTTACTAGTGTTATATCACCTGTCAATACCTCAGGTGAATGCCAGACAAAAAAAAATCACCCGATTCCAATAAACTTTTGTAACAAGAATTACCGTAAATACTCAGTTTACATGACACTAATGATTTCTCGTCTCACTGACACACTATTTACGTCTCATGTACTGTGTCCTGTCACCATTGAACCTTTGGACTGACAACTTAAATCATCCTGGCAGAACCTATTGCCCTCATAGTCTTGTTACAGCTAACACGTAAACTAGTTCTGTCACAGCTAATGTATAAACTATCTTTGCATTTTTTCTTTTATTTCCGTGTACTATGGTTGCACCACAAGCCACTCAACATGTCAGCTTGTAAATATCCACAATTGACCAAGAAATACAGTAGTCGCGGCCTGGGTGAGCCAAGTGACGTCACAGCCTCAACATGTTTACCATATAAGTGCGAATGGTTCAAGAAGTAGTGTACATAAAAAAAGTGTAATTTATTTGTAACATTTGTTTGTGCCATAACTATGTGGGACATTTGTATTTTGTAATTAAGTGCAATGGTCAATATGTCATACGCTTTTTTTTGACAGTATATCTATAAGCTTGCGTTAGACCTTCTCAATGGTTTGTCTCTGTTCTCTGTATATTATTTAGGATCATCTCGTAAAGGTCTTTTTTTATGTGTCAAGGTTTCACTACAGAGACATACCCCATGCTTCCTGTAAGTGACTTTAGTTGATCATACATTGTGCATATACTGCATCACGACCCCAGCTGGTTCTGTGCATTGTATAGTTTTTTTATCACAGACCCTCGAGTTATTATGCCGAGTTGCGCTCAAATGGTGGCTGATACTCACGCTCAGTTGAGGGGCAAGTGATAGTGATGGTATTATTCCTTGTCTCCTTAACTATAGTCCAGAGATTTGTTCACTTTAAGAGAAAACGTTTTGACTTTTAGGTATAACTATTAAAGAATGAGATTTTCGACACTTTTCAAAATTTTTGTTGATGTTATAAGGTATTGTCCACCATGTTGAGGGCGAATTCGAATTTTATTCATGATTTTAGTCTTAGAATATTTTGGGACCAAATTCCTAAGTGTTGGAAGAGTGAACTCAATGATGTGAACATGTGGTAATAGGCCTTCAATGTTCCTGTACAAAGTAGTAACTTGGCCTTGTATTTACGAAGTCTCAAAATTGGTATAGAGGAGCAGAT